GATAAATCCATTTCTCAGCCAACATAGCTAACCAACCCCTGAATGAGAGGTAACAAGGTTTTCATTGTGTTATTAACTTCATATTTAGTGATAAACAGTCTTAAGAAAATACAACAATAATGAAAAAAATGTCAGCATTGGATCTGAGAGCACAGAGTCAGTTCTCGAAGAACGAGTTGATTGCTGTAAAAGGCCAGAGGGAGGGATCCAGGTGGAGGGAGAGTGTTGGAGGTGGGTGAAGGCATGTGTGGGACAGGGAAAGGATTCTTGCCAAAGAAGTGGGCATGTAGGCGAAGATGATGGAAGAAAAGTTCAACATCATGTCGCGCCCGAAATTCAGTGAAGTGGGGTCTTAAACTAAGACCCTTGCTGTGTACAGAGTGTTCAGCATCACAGAGTGGAAGGTCAGAAAAGATATTAAATACTTGACAGGAAGTGGGGTTAGGAGAGGGGCTGTGGTAAGAAGGGAGGAAGGTTGCAAAAGGGTGTGGGTATCTCTAAGTTGTTGCATTTTGCATTCTTTAATGCCCGAAAGGAAAATAAAAAGACTTTTCATTAGCCCATAAAATGAGCCAAAGGATGAAGTGGACATGAGGGACAGGACAGCTCTGAGCCATCACGGGGTGGTGCTGAAGGACAGAAAGGTCGAAAGTGTGCATATGGTGACGCATGACACTAAGTGTGAGTGTAATTTCTCGAACCTGATTGTTTATATTGCATGATTAAATGTGAGACATTGGTGAAGCAATGAAATAGCAGTGATGCTGCAAGTAAAATATTATTGTTTAGATTCAAAACTCTTTGGTGATATTAAGAACCAGAAAAAGAAAGACCAAGCATTATTCAGCTTGCCTACAGGTGTGGTTTCAGGCAATAAGTTTGATCCACTGATAACATGCTATGTCTGAGGAAGTTCTCCTAGAATCTCATTTTCCAGATGATTTAAAATTTCTGCCAAATTATCAATATTCCAAAATCAAGCAGAAACTCATACGTTACCTCTAAACTCTAATATGACTGCATATCTCATGATAGAGATACAAACTGTTTTATCATTGTCAATATTAAGTTTTGAATGCAAGAATCATTTTTGTAACTTGAAGCATAATATGCAGTCTAAAAGTAGTTCAGAAATACATTGAGAAATACCATGAAAATATCTCTCTATAACAGACTTTTCTTATAGTTTTAACTGATGGATTATATTCATATGATTTTATTTTCCTTAGGTTAAAGAAACAGACTGTTTGAGCATTTGCTATTAATAATTTTTATGGATGTCAATGCAAGACACCAATGACTTCTAAATGGAGGATTTGTATGTTTGTTGATAAGGACACACAGGAGTTACCAATTAACCCTCTCAATTCTTTGGAGCTCTTTAATTCAACAAAGTAACACTTATGCTTTAAAAATGTCATGAAAGGAAGGAATTTGGGCCTGATTTCTATTTGATTGTTGTGGTGAACTCCTGCTGCAAGTGTGGCAGGTTCAGCCAGACCACTCACATGTTCAATCCCGGATAAGGTACCTTAAATTGTGCTTCCATATTGACCTTATTGAGGCAGAGTTCTTGCTTGTTTCTTACGTTTGTTGATTTCAGGAGAGAGAGGCAGAACTTTCTGAGATGATCATGGAGCTCCGTCAAGATCCAATACACAATGGAGATAAGAAAGATGGGAGAGTGTTGGGGAACTGATGCTGGGTTTCACGAGGAACTGCTCAATTGAAGGGGAATTGGGACCATGTGGGATCCAAATTAGGTCCGGATTCAGGTTCTTAAAGGTAAGGAGGCCAATAAGGGTTGTTGGGAAGGTTATAAATGATCTGCTGTATAACAGAATTGCTCATACATCCAGATATTTCTTCCAGGGTTCATGGAACCTGTCACCCAACTTGGACAGCCTATTACTGGAGGCATTTACCAGGTACTCCCTGCTGGAGTCTAACAGATAATACCTACACACTGCAGGAGAGCTGATCTTGCCGATCTTGTTCCTATACTCTGGAAACCTCAGTAGGATGTATGATTGTGTTTGGCAGTGGGCACAATCTAACTGCCAGGATTGTAATGCAATAAAATGTACAGGCTGAATAGTTTTTAATGGTACTTTTGAAGAACTCAGCACCATCACCTTTGCTGGTTTTTCACATACATGCACATGATCCATGGGAAAAATTTAGATTTGATATTTTATTTTATACAGCATTAGGAAACTAAACAAGGAAAGCAAAATGTCTATGCACTGTAACATGAGAAGATGTAGGGTCATTGCTGGAGAAAATATTCCACTGGCTACAATAATGTACTCCATAAAAGTAGGAATGTTTCAGGGATCTAGTTGTTTGATTCTTATGCAGTTGTACTTCACACAACATTTGGCTGCAAAATCTCATTTGAACTGGACTGTTTGCTGGACACAAATTACAGCTTCAGTCTGATAGCTTTTTACTTGACCTGTGACTTTCAACTCTAAAGTTTCATATACTGCACATCATGATTTGCGTTTTGGCTGACCTTTGGGTAGCGCCAAATATCTGAACACAACTCCAATTGTTATGGACCACAGGGTTAAAGCTCCTCCCTTTCCATCAGGTTCTAGTTCTAGATGTCAATGTGTTGATAGAAATTCAAGCTGACAGCAAAGATTGCAAAAAAAACATTCAAATATTGGGGAACACTTCAAAAGTGAGCAGATATTTTCAATAAAAGGCAACTATAACTGACTTAGAGTCAGAGTTATACAGCGCAGAAACAGACTCTTTGGTCCAACTCATCCATGCCAACCAGATGTCCTAAACTGATCTAGTCCCATTTGCCAGCATTTGGCCCATATCCCTCTAAACCCTTCTTGTTTGTATATCCATCCGGATACCTCTTAAATGTTGCAATTGTACCAGCCTCCACAAACACACCTAGCAGCTCCCTGTGCATGAAAAGATTGCCCCTCAGTTCCCTTTTAAATCTTTCCCCTCTCACCTTAAACCTATGCCCTCTAGTTTTGGATTCCCCTACCCTGGGAAAAAGACCTTGACTATTCACCCTATCCGTGCTCCTCATAATTTTATAAATCTGTATAAGGTCACCGCTCAGCCTCCTATGCTCCAGGGAAAAAAAGCCCCAGTCTATTCAGCCTTTCCCTATAGCAGTAGCACTCCAATCCCAGCAACATCCTTGTTAAGCTTTTCTGTCTCAATTTAACACCTCTCCTATAGCAGGGAGACCAGAATTGAATGCAGTATTCCAAAAGTGGCCTAAACAATAATCTGTATAGCCACAACTTGACAACACAACTCCTATACCCATATACTGATCAATGAAGGCAAACATGCCGAAAGTCTTCTTCACCACCCTGTCCTCCTGCGACTCCACTTTCAAGGAACAATGATCCCACATCCCTAGATCTCTTTGCTTAGCAACACTCCCCAGGGCCCTACCATTAACTGTATAAGTCCTGCCCTCGGCTTGCCTTACCAAAATGCAACCACTTCGCATTTATCTAAATTAAACTCCGTTTTTGACTCTGTAGCCCAATTTAAGCAGAAAAAGTGTTTATACTTTTTTTATAATGAGAACGACAACAGTCAGGGTATGTTTGGGTAGTTAATCAAATCCAATGGAAAGAGATTCCAAAAGAGAAACAATTATTCCAGTTCTAGTTCCAGAATATTTCTAAAATATAGCTCCAGTTCAATTCAATTTTGTCAATAGTACATTTTTGAAAATTGTTCAGCAGCAATCTGAACTCACAAGCCAATTTTTACCTTGAGCTTTAAAAACGAGTACTCACACTAGAGTTATAGAATCCCTACAGTGTGGAAGCAGGCCATTCAGCCTATCGAATCTACACTGGACCTCCAAACAGCATCACACCCAGGCCCACCTCCCTACCTTGTCCATGTAACCCTGCATTTCCCATGGCTGAACCGCTGAGCCTGCACATCCCTGGACACTATGAGCAATTTAGCATGGCTAGTCCACCTAATCTGCATATCTTTGGGCCACATTATGTAATTTCAAATTAAACAAGTTCAATATTGCAAGATACATCTGGAAACATCATAGCCAAGATCTTACATTATCTATTGGTGACTAATAGTTCTAATTGGAACAATTATCCGATTATTTCTATGTTTTCTCAATAAGTTCTTGAGGCTGGGTCAGGAAAAATGTACAATGAACCCCTACTTTTGGCACAAGCAATCAATCAGTCACTGAAACTAAGAGTGCCTTAGAGTCCATCATTTGTGCAATGGAAAAGTTAATAAGGTACTGCTCCACATAAACTTTGAGGTCTCCTACTCGCTGGAAATAAAGCACTGGTATCTGAAGGTCAAGAGGCAGAACTTACTGCCAAGCTTCTCCTTTCATTTAGCGACATACATGGATCTGTTAATTTGTATGGGCCCTCAGAATAGTCGACAGCAGAAACATGAACACATCTAATGAAGTTATTTAGATTGAGGACCAAACATTCCATTGTACCGAATACAGACTGTCCCCACCCCAGTGTACTGCTCACTGTCTCTATTGTTTTTCACTCCTGTGATTTTTCACAAGCAGCTTTCTAGCTGCTATATTTTAATAATTTTATTTAAGTATTTTCAATTGGGCCTCTGACAGAGTTAAGGTTGCTAGCAAAATATTTGTTGTTTCCCTGCCACCACTCCTGTTCCCTACCCATTAACACTCTCATCCACCTATTTCCTATACTTCATCTTCCTCCCTTGTGTCATTTCTCACCCATTTGCACCATTTTCTGTCCTCTATCTCTTCTATCCATTATATCTGTGCTTCCTTCACTCTATTATCATCCACTAACTTCTCTCCTCTCTCCATCCCTTTCCCAAGTTTTATGAAAGGTCACTCTTTGTCACTGGACAAATAGTGAAGAGTTGCTTTCAGTTGGCAGGGAAACAAAATATAATTGTCAAAGTGAGTAAGAAAAAGGGCTTTCATCATTTCAAAAAAAGTAATGCTAATTTACTTAACTAGATAACTAAATTACAAGTATACCTTGGTAGCTTTTCTGCTGTGCCTCCGAGTCATCTCTCCATTTTTGTGATGGTAAATGTTCCTGTTCGGTTGTTCCTTTGTCAGTCAAAATCTGATCAACATCTGGTTCATTTTCATATTTTTGAGACAATGGGGAGTAAACACTGGCATTAGTGTCTTCTTGCCATGGCACGGAATTTTCTTCTCCCATTATCAATGAAAAGTTATGAGATTCATCAGTTTTCTGCCCTTCTGCTATATTTGTCAGTGGCTTCTTTATCATGTTAGCAGAGAACCTCACCTGCTTGCTACCTGTCTCCGTCTTTGAGGTGCCTTCGGAATCCTCGGACTGTTCTGGCAATGCACCCGAGTCATCCATGGACCGAATTGGAGTCCATTTGGAAAGGTTTTCTGACTCAGTGGAGCTGCTACTTGGACTACGCTTTAAAATGCCTTTTCTCTTTGAATGCTCAGTCTCTCCTCTTCCTAATATTAAATTTGGTGCGTCATTGCTATATTCCCCTGGCTGTTTGATTTGGCCAGTTCTGTTGTTCATTAAACCTTTTGGTTTATCTGGTTCAGAACTCTGGTCAATGATATTATCTTTCTCTTGACATTTCCCCTTTGATTCACTGATCTTTGTATCAGTTGCAACTGGTTTTAAATCTGAAGATCTTGAAGTAAACAGACTATCCATGTCAGGAGATTTGCTGTCAACATTTGCATTTATCGGATTTTGCTCAGCCATTATGTCTGAATTTGTTTCATTTTTACTGCTGTCTGTTTGTGGATTTTTAACACCCTGCAGTATTTCTGATAGCAATTTCGATGAATTCCTTGAAAATGGGTTCCTCTGCCTCTTATTAGCATCATGTGCATCATAGTTGTCCTCTGAATGGAATGGTGTTTCTCTGTTTGACACAGATGATTCTTTTGTATGGGCACTGCTCTCTGCGGGTGCTTGTACAGTGTCTGCATGGCTGGAAGGCACAGCTGACTCATAGCTGTCAAACCCAGGTCTAGGACTGTGCTTTACACTTTGTTCAGATGGATCTGACCATCTAGTTGCTTCAGTCTCTATTGGAGAAAACTCAGGTTGGTCACTTTTGTCTATCAGTCTGTCTAGAGCAGTGAGTTTTTTTCTGGGAGTCTGCAGATTTAAGTCTTCTTTCGGTGTCCAGAATTCTTCTTGTTTAGCTGAGTGTGTTGATTGACCGACAGTATAATCAGAATATGGATTTGTTTCAGATTCTGGTACATCAACTGCTGTAATAGGTGAGTCCATGTTGGACAGAGGAACCTCATTGCTCAAAGTTGTAGTCATATCCTCATGATCTTCATTCCTCTTTTTCATATATGGTTTGATGTTGTCTAATGTGAAAAATGAATTAAGACAATGTAAGAGGTCACTGATCATAATATTCTATAGGGAATATGGATCTGCTACAAATGTATTTATTGAGAAAAATCTTCTGAATATATTTCAACTTAACCAAAAAAAACCTGACAAAGTCTGGAAGGAATTAACCAATAGTAACAACCAAATCTGTCACATTAGTGTAATAAACATGAATTGCTGAGGCACTTATAAGAAACCGTTTCGAGATATAGTCATAAGGAAGCTCTTACCAATTGCAAATCATATAATTATGGTTTGATGTCTGTTTTTCTTTTTACTAGTCAATTATATTCAGGAAATTTACTTTTAAGTTAACTGGGTATCAGACTGGGTTCAGTTGGTAGCGCTCCTGGCTCAGAGGCAGAAGGTTATCAGTTCAAACACTCTTCTAGACTCTTGAATATATCATTAAGGCTGACAGTTCAGTGCTGTACTGAGGGAATTCTATACTGTCTGGGGTACCCTCCTTTAGATGAGATGTTGAGAAAAGGTTGAATCTGCCCCTGGGTAAATGTAAAATATATTTGTGACATCGTTTGAACTCACTCAGTGACCTGGCCAATATTTATTTCTTAACAAACAAGTCATTTATTTCATTGCTGATTTTGGCAGTTGACTGTGTGCAATTAGACTGCTACATTTCTTACATTCCAAGAATTACCGGATTTCAAAAATTCTTCATCATTTATAAAGCATTTTGAGATATTCTGAAGTCATGAAAGACAATGTTTTATCACAATTCTTTCTACTCTTCTCTACATACCCACCTGACTTCCTAGGCAGGAGGGGCTGAAACTATATCTGGTATTTTTAAATGTTCAAGGATATGTTCACTCATCCTTCCCATACACACTTAAAAAATTGGAATTTCTTACACAATCTCCTTCAGGAAATTCAAGTTATTGATGCATTCTTTGTTTCCACAATCCGCCATTTTAGTTGCTTCTTCAAATACTGCATCAGGTTTAACATTCTGAAACAGTGTTTATTATCTCTTGTCAGCCCTGTACATTTTCAATGATCATTGCTAATCATGTTTTAATTAACTTTCCTACCACAAGAGTTTAAATTCACTGCCCTATAGTTTCCAGGATGTGATTTTAATTTTGTTTTTAAAAAATAAGGCCACCATGTGTGGTTTCCATTCATCATCTGACTGACTGAAATTACTCAGCAGTTCATAACACATGAACTCTTTCATTAATTTCAGAGCACTAGAATAAATTGAATGTAGCTCTTCTTTCGAACTTGAGTCCCGTTAGCTCTGTTTTTGCCATTGTAAGATGTGCAAACTTTTCTGATTTTAGATCTATCTGCTATTCAAGTGCGGATCCAATGGTTGCACAATTAGCAAAATTTCTGATGTATTAAAATCTTCTGCCTACATTTCTAGTAACTGAGGCTTTCTAGAATTTACTTCATTGATTCATTTCTTTATTAATTCTGAGTTTACGAACCACCATGTATCACTGTAAAACCTTTTGAACATCTCTCATCATGCCCAGTTAGTTCAGTAAACCTTCAAACTTCCCTTTCCATATGGCAAACTAAGATGTTTTGAAGGTTTCACAAATATCATTTTCTAAAGCCAGTAAATCTCCAACATTACTATTCCTTCATACTGTAAATGTAGTCAACTTGGATTTGGAGCATTTGTCTTTGTGACCATTAGCAAGTCTTGCATTGTAATCCTCCTGAAGTGTTCTGTTGTATGAGAGATAGTAGGAACTGCAGATGCTGGAGAATCTGAGATAACATGGTGTAGAGCTGGATGAACACAGCAAGCCAAGCAGCATCATAGGAGCAGGAAGGCTGATGTTTCGGGCCTAGACCCTTCATGGATTTCCAATGGCCAGAATTTTTAGTCAGCAGTGACATCTAATCTGCTTTATTTAGTCATCCCCTTCCCTGGGGAAAATGTCCCAGTGCTGAAGATTTTATGATCTATTGCTTTATTTCTTGGAATGATTGATGTCTCATTTGATGACCCTTTTGAAGAATGCAATAATTTTGTTTTAAATTTCCCAATGCCTATGCACTCTTACAACAAGTTATACACAACTGATTTTGGTAATCTCTCCTAATATATTACTCCTTATTAATCTATCTTTATTTCCTCTATGAGCATTTTTGGGCACTTATACAGACACAATAAAAACATTTGTTATATTAATAGTCCCTGTAGCATGTGTAAATTAGGTATAAATGTGTAAATATTAGGTATAAATCTGATTTTAGTCTTTCTAACCATGCATATCCCTAACCCAATCATTATAATCTCATACTTCCACAAAGAACCAGGCACAAACTTTCACTTTAGTTACAATTGCCAATGTGAGTTCAAATTGTGCTCAAAATTGGTTTTCTGAATGTAATGCCTACTCTGAACCAGAAGCATTGGACACCATTTTAAAGTCTAATTTACAAGAAACAAATTGCTTGAAAAATATTCTTTCATGCATTTAAGAATGGTAACTAAAGTTATAAATCAATGTAATTGTGAAAAGTAGGCATTTTAAGAAGAATATTCAGCCAAACAACTGTAACAACCAAATTTTAATGAAGAGACTAAACTCATTAAAGCACACAGACCTATCTAAAAGTTATGATAGCATAGTCATTAGTTTCTTTGTAGATTAAACAAAGACAGCGCTGCTGCTGGGTCAAAGTCCTGGAATGCCCTTCCTAACAACATTGTGGCTACCCCTACCACAAACGCTGCAATGGTTCAAGAAAGCACCATCACCTTCTCCAGGGCAATTCCTATGAATGATTTTTTTAAAATTTCTGACAAGAACTTGCAGACTGTCTTTTGAAAAACATGTGAACAATCCTCATTGGACCAAATTAAATTTGCTCTCATCACAATAAGATATTCATTGCTGGGGAATAGAAACTTTTAAATGGATAATGAATAATATCCATGTCAAAGTCTCCCAAGTTGCATACAATGTTTGTTAAGGTATCTCAGTGCATGTTAATCTCAACCTTGGAAAAACTCCCTGCAATAACACAGGGGCATTTCTATTCCTCCATCACAGATTTTCATGGCATATGGAATGAAATTAGTAACTTGGTACTAATTAATGCAGAGTTGTATAGTTTTACGCTGGGGACATCAGAAAATGACGAGCGAGGGATCTCAGAAAGTGACATTGCAGAGTGAAATCCAACCAATAGTTCCCCGTAATTTACAACAGCCAGAAAGCATTAAAATTGATACAAGAATTGAGTGGAAGCGCATACTAACAATATAAACAACAGGAAAGTGAATGCAAAACAAAATGGAAATTTTGAGCTTCACATTCATTCCTCAATCCTATTGTTAAGCTTCTTATAGCTGGTTGGTGAAGGAGGAGACTGAAAGTCACTCATTATTCCATTTTAGATCTATTCACAAAGTGAGATATTACAATTATTTCATTTCTAAATATACAACTCATTTCTGGTATCAGTAAGTGTCATCTTATATCTACATAAGCCATAATACAATGAGTGACACATCCCCCCCCGACCAAATGTAGACACTTAACCTTACTTTATACAATTAACAAAACTCCTTTCAAGTAAATAAAGAATATCCAAATGAAGCTTCACAAATACAGACAAGAATGGTTGTATCAATGAAATTTGAAACAAAAAAGCCCTGGCTACTCAACCTCAACAGGAACTACACAAATGCCAGCCTACAGTGCCCTCAACTTGAACTGTTCAAGGTAACATTTTCAATTGTTTACTTTAAGAAGTCATACAAGCTATGAGTTCTGACAGGCTTGAAATAGATAGTCACCCAAGAGCAACAATGCACAGATGATAAAGAATTAAAAAACAAAATGAAAATAGTTACAAAAGAAACAGAAATTGCAGTAAGAAATTGGAAAAGGTACAAAATCAAATACCACAGATGAACTGTCACAAGATATTATTGACCAACTTCATCAGCTCAAACCAACTGGCACTTCCCCTCACCCATCTAGCATCGGTGATCTCTGGCTTATATTTAAGTACACTTTCAAATGAAATCACTAATCATTGCCAAATGAAGTGGGGAAACAGTTTGGATCCTGAGACTTGAAGGCTGACTTTTTCCATTCAATTGAAAATCTGTTTTTGTGGCTGCATTCTTCAAAATACCTTCATGTGCTCCACTTGATTTTTTGTCCATTAGTAGCTGTGCATAAACAATGTGGGCGCCAATCAAATAATTATTTCCAGATATTTTTAGCCAGTGATTGAAGTTCTCCGAAAGGAGCAAGAACCTGGCAAATCATACGTAAATATTCCATTGAATGAGGGAAGAAAACATAAATCAATAACAATACTAGGGTTGTCAGAAAAATCAAACTGCAGTGTGCGGGAAAATGCATTATGAATTCTTAGGGCACACTGGAGCCCCTGGGATAACAAAATTGTTTGCCCTTTTGGGCACTGCAGATTTTCAACTGAGTTTGTAACACATGCAATCCATTTCTTAGTCATAGGATGGAATTTTACGGTCACCTACTGGAATATGAGGGTCAGAAGCTCGTAGAATGTAGCGTGTGGCTGTTTACTGCCTTCCCATCCGTGACCAATGACCAGTGGAAGCATCAGGTGGGCTGCTCAAACTCAGGCCTATTAATGACCAAGTAGGTGCCTCATCTACAGCAAGTTAGCTATCTAGGCTGGTTCCCCATGCCCACTGGAGCCAGCCCAGTACTTCCTCGTCATTCGCCCCACCCCCAACATCAAAATCCATCTTACCCCTCATCCTGCGTCTATCTAAGATACGAATAAACTTACAAACAAGAAGCACTAGTAAGCTATTCAGGCTCTCTCGCCTGCTCTGCCATTCAATAAGGGCACCGCTGATCTAATGGTAATCTCAAATTTGCATTCCTGCCTAATCCCAGTAACCTTTCTTGCTGAACAAGAATCGTTCCACCTCTGCCCTGAAAATATTCAAGGAATTTGCTCCAACTGCATTTTCAAG